TGCCCACCCCACTAACGCGAGATCAGGTTGTGACACAAGGTCGGTTTAATGTGGGGAGCCCGAGCGCGTACACACGGGCTAGGAAAAAGTTCCCCGGTCCACCGCAACTTGGTTGGGCTGGCCTTAGTGAAAAAACCGATCCCTCTCTCTGCTGCAATGAAATGGCGCGGCCTCGGGCAGCTTCACCCCAGTGCTGAGCACCTCTCAATATAATTTTCCTCAGTTGCGACTCTGCTCTTTGACGGAGCCGCCCCTGGGCGCACTCTGTCTAACGACAGAGACGCAACTGAGAGATAAATAAAAGTGTTACAAACTACTCCGATTGTCTTTTTTTTTATTCAATTTGTTTTTTCTACAGATATGTTTCGCGAACTTTGTCGAAATAGAAGACAAAAACTCACACTTAGTAAAAAAAAAGAGACTAATATGCAAAAAGAGACTATATACATGTGTGTGTGTTTGTGTGCGCGCGTTTGTTTGAGATCTTGCTAAATAGTAACAAATCATCGGCTAGTTAACTTTCGCCTTTCCGAAGGGTGAATGTTAATTAGACGACGAGTTGGTGCAATAAATTTTCGCTAGATCTATATATATATATATATATATATATATATATGTATAAATCACCTAAACACGCACATACACACACACACGCACACACACACGGACACATATATATATAAATATACGAAGAAAAATATACGGAAAAACCAACAAAAATCCTAATATGCAATTATGCTGTTTCAATATTAGGATTTTTGTTTGTTTTTCCGTATTTTTCTTCATATATCGGGATCTATATCATATATTTACACACACACACACACACACACACACACACACACACACACACACACACACATATATATATATATATATATATATATATTGACATTGCTTTGATAAAGTAATTCAGAGGACGAAATGCGTCTGCTAATCATAGTTTTCCTATTCTATGTTATATATATATATATATATATATATATATATATGTGTGTGTGTGTGTGTGTGTGTGTGTGTGTGCATGTGTGTGTGTGTGTGTGTGTGTGTGTGTGTGTATGTTTGTGCATGTGTGTCTATGTTTGTGTGTGTATATATATATATATGTATATATATATATATATATATATATATATATATATATATATATGTGTGTATGTGTGTGTATGTGTGTGTGTAAAATGTGTGGATATCCTGTATAAATGCTCACGCTATGGTAACTGATACAATTAAATGTTTAGACATACACATATACGTATGTAATGTTAAACTCTGGTATACTTACATATATCTAGCAACATATAATTCACAGATGTTCGTATAAATACATACAATATAAGTATAGTAAGGGCAATAAGTATATATAGAACGCACACACACATACACACACACATATATAAATTTGTGAGAGAAAGAATTATCTCGAAGGATAGAGAGATTGTGCGATAGAGAAGAAGTATGAACCTATCAGCCTAAGTTAACAACATTGCACCCTCATCTGTAACCTTTACGAACATCAAAGTCGTATCTCTAATTATTATTTCCCAGCTCCTGAATTTATATCCAATGTCATCGTTTACGTCATATGACGTCATGCGATGTTTGGTGCGGAATCGAGTTATTAAGCTTTCTGCCCTGCACTGATATTATCTTTTGCTGTTGAAATTGAAAACAGCCGTACATTTCTAGTAATAAATAATTCTATAGTACAAATAAAAGTATTAGAACAGCTCCCCATATATATATATATATATATATATATATATATATATATATATATATATATATATATATATGTACCGAGTGTAACAGAAAAATTGTCCAATTGTTAGATTAAGATTTCAACTGTTGAAGAAGGAAATTACTGGAATGTAATTGAAACTCACCTGAAGCGAGCTGAATGTATAATGCTCCTCATGCCAATGACACTTCCACCGAGCTTCACTACGTCATATGACTTCACTGAATTTTGATGTGTTCCTCTCGAATTTTAAACTGGGGTCATCAGGAGAGAATGTGCACCGTTTCGGGGCCTTCCTCTCAACGGTTTCAGTTGCACACCGGGCCCCCCTCACTGATGTGAGGTCCCATTATAACGATATACAAGTGTTGTAGATAAACTAGTTCAAATGTGTAACGGCGAAATTAAATTTACGAAAATTCCGTATCTTAGAAATGATTAAAGATATCGTTTTTATAATATTATCGAACTTTACTTTTAACAATAAAAAAGTATATTTACCCTTCAAGCTTAACAGAAGAATCGTGATGAATCGATCATAAACGAAAATAATATGTTCATCATGAAAGGTTGATATAAAGTTTATATATATATATATATATATATTATTCCAGAATCATTTTCCAAATTAATCACGATGATCTTCGCCCTCTAAACTTCTAACTTTCTGTCCTGGAATAACAAGGTGCCACAGATGTTTCACCTACGATTTAATTTTCACTGCTGTTTTTTTTTGTCACTGCTCTTTGAACTTTTATAGCTGAGATTCCTCTCTCATTTGTCAAACGCCTTATTAGTTCAGTGTTTTGTTTTTAGATATTAAAGATTTTATGGAATGGACAACCATGTTTAGACAATTAATTTTACTGTTACAGTATATATATATATATATATATATATATATATATATATATATATATATATATATCACTTAAATGATTTTATTAGTGATGCCCTTATTTCGGTAGACGCTACTTTTATTTATTAATATATTTATTCATTTTCGGCTCCAAACTTTAAATATTTGATAAACCTTATTAAAGAAAATAACCGCTCTCGGCTGGATTCGAATCTTCTAACCGTCGTTAAAAAATGCTTTAAATAAATATATATATATATATATATATATATATATATATATATATATGTCTGTGTGTGTGTGTGGGTGTTTTGGTTAAAAAAAAACGACAATATACTGCGGTTAATTTTTTATTTAGTTTTTCTTGTGTTCTTATAATTTTTTCCTTTTCTGGACATAAATTGTACAGAAATTGTCCAAATTATTGGTATGCTACAGCGCTTTCGGCTATTCTTTCGGACATTATCCGGGATGATTTTATTTTTACATTTAACTGAATGGAAGCATTATTAATAAAAAAAAAAGGAAAAACAACAACATAGAATAACATCAACTATGAACACTGCGACAATGTTGACCTTTTATATGGAAAATAAAACTTTCCTGTAACTCTAGATACATACATAAAAAAAATTCCATACATATGTAAGACATAAGATATTTAGAAAGCTAACACACACACAGACACACACACACGCACACACGACCATATATATATATATATATATATATATATATATATATATATATATATATATATATATATATATATATATATATATATATATATATATATATATATATATATATATGTATATATATATATATATATATATATATATATATATATATATATATATATATTGCTTAAATATTATTTTTAGTGGATACCCATGATTAGACGTCTGTTTATTTATTAAAATCTATGTATATTTTTTTCCATCTACCGACTCGAATAGTACTTTTAGACACAAATTTTCCTGACTGTTGAAATATACATCTCTGCTCAGTCTCTCGAATATTCAAGCCGGTATATATATATATATATATATATATATATATATATATATATATATATATATATATATTTAGGCTTAATAAATAATCAGAGTGGCTACTCAAATATGGGAATCCACTAAAATAAGGTTAAAGTAATAAAATATGTCGGATTATGAAATGAAAATCCACAATTATAATTGCTTTGTTTACGTTAGGATATGAAACTGGACAGAGATATATATTTCGTGACTCGGTAAAAACCTATTCGGGTTTTGCTTGGTCATCAGGTTCTCTGTATATCCATATCACATCAGTGTCTTCATATATATATATATATATATATATATATATATATATATATATATATATATATATATGATAAAAATATAATCTGGTGGACGCACGTTCGAATTCTGTCGGAAAGCACAATTCCCCGAGTGTTTAGGCTGGTAGATGTTATAAATAATGATTAAAAATAAACAAAGCGTCTACTGAATTACGGGTATCCACTAAAATGAAGTATATATATATATGCAAACATTAAGTAATTCATCGAGTCTACAGAAAACTCAACAGAATGCTGAAAGCACTGGACGACCTACATTTGGGACCCATCAGCAGTGCATTCACTACCGAGAATTGAAACCCGAAAAGCTACATTGACAGGCAATCGTCATACCAACATTCAGTGTATGTATACGTATACATATATATATATACGTATATATATGTATATACATATATATATATATATATATACATATATATATATATATATATATATATATATATATATATATACACATATATATATATATATATATATATATATATATATATATATATATATATATATATATATATATATATATATATATATATATATATATATATATATATATATATATATATATATATATATATATATATATATATATGTATATACATATATATATACACATATATATATATATATATATACATTTTATATATATATATATATACATTTATATATATATATGTATATATATATATATATGTATACATATATATATATATATATATATATATATATATATATATATATATATATATATATATACTTATATATATATGTGTGTGTGTGTGTTTGTGTGTGTGTGGCGAGAGAATATATATATGGATTAAATTTTTAATCGATTCCATTGCTTTCGATTTCACAAATGCCACTGGAAATATATTAATCTATCTTTTCTTCACACACCTCAACTAGGGTTTAATAGTATGATACACTGGGTTCTCTAACTTTGATGGGCAGTCAGTCTAAGAGAAGTGAATTTAATGAACCCGACTGTAATTGGAACTCGGCTTTGTGATTTCAAATTTAGAGCCATTATCCATTACATCACTCGTACTTCTAAGCTTACAGCACCTAGTTTTCCCAAGCGGTACCTCGTCTAAGTACTGTCCAGACTCGACATTGCTTAACTTCGGTGACCGTACGGGAACGTGCTGTAGACGTAAGACCAAAGGGATCTGTAGAAAGCAAGGGTCACCTACATTCTGAGTTGAACATTTAGAAAAGAAAATTCCGTTTATAATTTTTAAAAAGCGAACTCTGTAAACTTTTGAACACACTCGATACTGTTTAGAATTCAGATGTGTGTATTGAATAGGATTATCGTAATTACGTTTTTTTGTAAAATAATATACGCATTCGTTAATAATTTGTTTAAACATTTTCTATGCATAAGTGCACATCCTCACAATATACATAAATGCATAATAGTATGAAAACTACAGCGAAAAGTGCACAGTAGACACTTTTACATTTATGGGAGCGTCTAAGAGTAAATAATTTGTAATTGGAATTAGGCATTTTTCATCTCTCTAATTGAATTGGATTAGGCAGCAAAACGAAATTTTTGTCACCAAAATCATGAACATGTCATCACTTTCAAATCTTTTTATAAAGAATTAGTAGCTGGCTAAGAATATTGTGTTGCACCACTCCTTCATGTGAGGTGTTTGTGTCTGTTTGGGAGTGTTGAATCTAAAATCATGTCTTTTATCGAAAATTGTACGCCTCGGAGCGGGGCCTGTCAAAAATAATCAACCTCCTAACTCAATCACCAATGTCGCACACGATGTATAACATATAATAAATATATATATTCTCTTGTTTGTATCCCTTCAGGAGATAACAGTTCGTCAAAACTTTCTATCCATTGATGCGCTTCGAAAAATTTTTTTTTCAATGCCTCCTACAATCCATTACCACAATCTGGTCAGCTACGTGGCTGCTGTCTCTCTCTCTGCCTATTTTGCATTCTATATGTCTTTTGAGTGGCAAATTCTCCAAGCCTTCCTTCCTCCTTATGTATCCAAAATATTTCAGCTGTTGCTTTCCGATTCTGATTAATAGCATGTTGTTTCTATTTTCCTGTAGAATTCATTGTTATTTACGTGATCCGTCCATGGAATTCTCAGTACCCTTCCGTATACGCACAATTTTGTTCTCTCCAGAAAAGAAAATGTTTATTTATTTGTAAAGAGAAAAAAAAAAGGTTGTTAAAATGAAAGATATAACCAAAATAATTAAAAACAAACGCCAATCAAAAAACTTAAAACACATATTAACTTCATCCAAATTTAATCAACACACAGTACAAGAGGTCATAAATGCAACGCGAAAAGATGTAAAGTTTGTGATATAATTATAGAAAGAGACTCCTACACTTTTGAAAACCCCACAACAATATTCACAATAATTTATGCATTCGGGTGCACAAATTGCAACAAATCTTATATAGATATCACTCAAGCACTAACAAAAAAGTTTCCCGACACAAAAGCAACATTAAATTATCAGAAAACTGTTTGTGTCACAACACATCCACAAATGCAACTAAGGTAACTTTAAAATTATGTCAGTGTATCAAACAGACGATTACTATTACCTCAAAATGTTATAAAAATACAAATCATAGGAAAACTTAACCCAACACTAAACAAATCATAACCTCACACACAGTAATATACAACATATTGTCATTGTGGTAGAACACACTAGTTGAAACACACACACACACACACACACACACACACACACACACACACACACACACACACACACACACACTCAATCACACAAACACCCTCAATCACACACACAAAAACACACACACGGCATACAAAATGAATGTAGTTACTACAATAATATAATATATTATATGCAGAACGAATATATACAGCCATACTGAAAAAAACAAACAAACACACTAGTCAGACCACGCGGGTGCGCGCACACGCACACACGAACCCTACACACCATACAATATGTGTGTGTGTGTGTGTGTGTGTGTATATATATATATATATATATATATATATATATATATATATATATATATATATATATAAATATATGTGTGTGTGTGTATGTGTGTGTGTGTAAAAAAAAGAACGTTACATTCATGAATGCGCACGTGTAAAAAGCTGCTTGAATAAAGATGTGAAATAAATTGAGAAAAATATTAAATATCACTTAAAAACACAAACCCTTGAAGAATGGACATTACCAAGAAACTTTGAAGTCGGAGAAAACAACAAAACATTGTATTTAAAGTTACGTAATCTCTTTCTCTCTCTCTCTCTCTATATATATATATATATATATATATATATATATATATATATATATAGATAGATAATATTAGTGGAAAATATACATACATATGAAAAATATATCTAAAAAATTCCCATACATGTATATTTTCAGAAAAAATTTTTTCCAAGAGGAAGGATCCAGGTAGAACTCAATGTCTAAGACAGAGTAAGGATTTTAAATTTTAAGTAAACACAATTTTTATTTTCCTTCGTCCCATCCCTCTCCCCCACCCTTTCCCTTTTTTTTTTTTTTTTCCCCTTCCTATCCGAATTGTCTGTGGTGTGTATATGTCACCACGAAATGTATCTTTATGTATTAGACATCCGTCGACTTTCTTTCTCTCCTCTTTTTAAATCCACCCCACCCACATCTCCAAAAATTCTCTCTGTCACTCATCCTCATACTTACACTTTCTCTAAATTCTGTTTTGATTTCCGGAGTTGTTTTTTTCTGTTTTCATTTTGAATTTGTAGGTCTGATGATTTGGATCGTATTTACGATTCCAATGGAATAAATTATGACCATGGAATATTAGTGTTTAAGCCTTTTTATTATATATATATATATATATATATTTATAAAAAAAGTCAATGTGTGCATTAATTTCATTCAGCAGTGTACATACAAACATTAAACAGGAAAATAAAACTAAAATTTACATTGGGGAATGTGTTACAGTAGTGCCTAAAATCCTCAGAGTAATGGAAGCGTGGGAGAATAAAAGAGCAAAACAGAAATATAAAGAAATAGTAAAATATCTAAGACAGGGAAGAGAAATATGTGATTTTCACCTACAAACTTCTTTACGATAAAATCTATTTTTTTCACAATCTTCACAATATCGAAAGAATTTTCCAAATTCAAGAGCCCACCGTCAGTTTTCGGACATTCATTATTTTTGTACCGCAGTAAATTCTTACGAGAACCCAAATATTTGAAATATCATGCACATTGACACTGCTGGATACGGAAGTGTCCTTGAGTTTATAGGACATCTTTGGTGCCCTCGGGTTATTTTGTCAATGCAATAATTAAAATCCTGCCCTAAATATATATACATATATATATATATATATATATATGAATAGATAGATGTGTGTGTGTGTGTGTGTATGGAGGGCCGTGAGTAAATGCAATCACAGGCTGTGCTCCCTGAGGAAGTGTCACACCCACCGGTATAAAGAATTTTTCTTCTGTAGTTCATGGTGCTCGCAAAGCTGGAGACCTATTTCCTTCTATAGTAAGAAAACATTTGCACTATGTTTGATGGAATATCAAGCAAAATATTTTGACTTCTTGAATGCTATCACTCGTTTCCGCGTGACACTGTATTCCTCTCCGAGTATTTAATCCTTAGATATTAAACTGGAATTTTACTGAAAAAAGAAGAAGTTCTATTTAGATATGAAGAAGACGGTAAGTAAACCAAAGCATAATCTGAATATAGCTATGTCTTTAACGAAGTATTTTATATAGAACGTTCTGTAAATGTTTTTTCACCTATTTTAATGTTCACCCGCAGCATTATCAGAAAAGAAATATATGTAATTTATAAGCCAGTAGGAATATATTAAAATACAGAAAATAGTTTTAAGAGAGAGGATGGCAAAAATAAACAGAGAAGGTGTAGGTTTCTGAGTATATATATATATATATATATATATATATATATATATATATATATATATATATATGTGTGTGTGTGTGTGTGTGTGTGTAAAAATATATAGAAAATAGGAAAGAATTTTTAAAAAATAGTGCTCGATACAAAAGTAGAGCATAAATATAATTATTTACTTAAAAATATGATTCCAAACGCTACATACGAGTTCTCATGTTTCAAAACAAGAGCCAAAAAATTCAAAAGGTTCCCAAAAAAATTTCGCTTGAAGATGGAAGAGAGCTTGCTACTTTAATTCGATTTAATTCAAATAATTATATTGAAATTTTTGGCTCTTGTTTTGAAACATGAGAACTCGTATGTAGCGTTGGAATCATATTTTTAAATAAATAATATATATATATATATATATATATATATATATATATATATATATATATAAAGTAAATGTATATATGTATATATTAATCACTATTGGACTTAAATTTATTCGAAACATTATTCTATATGCTATATATATATATTGTCATCCACAGGCAGACTCTTTTGCTGTATCACAGCTCATCAGTGTGGCTAAACTTCAGACCATGATCTAACAGGAGCGGATGTTGATGGATATATATTTTACACACTAGACAATGTGATTTCCTAATAAAAATGTGATGGAGTAGTAGTTTAACAAAATGTTATACAAGTTGTTTGCTTTATGAGTTTTTTACATATTTTTTTTATAGTTAATAAATAAATGGCTTCTTTAAGAAACCAGTAAATAATTTAATTTCTACTTGGCAAATTAATATCCAACTGTTGACCAAAGATTCTTTAAATAAGATGTTAACAATAACCAATCAATGCAAAATTCCAAAAATACCAAGTCTCTTTAAATCTTGTAAAGAATAATTCGGATATTTGGTTATTGGCACCAGTTCTAAATCGTTAGTAAATACCATGTCTTTCGAAATTCTTTTATGGTTTGGAAACAGAAAATAATCAATAAGGATGGATGGTCTATTCTGTTAAATTACAAATGCCATTATCTTACCAACTTTTTGAGTAGTTGCAGTGTAAAACTGTTGAGGGGTCCACCCCTTTTTATATAAATGAACTCACCCAGTATGTACATATGCTAAGGCTACGTGAAGACGAGAGTAAGAGGAGCAAGACTGAAGAGTCGAGTCCAGAGTGACAGAGTAAAAGGTTGTAGGTAACCGGAAGAGTGAG